ACACACACACACACACACACACACACACACACACACACACACACACAAAAAAAAAAAAAAAAAGCTACCGAGACAGGTAAACATCTGGAAATTGTAGTGTACTGGGAATCTTACGTGACAATTTTGTTAGAGGTTTATTTGATTTTATATGGATGAATGTTTTGCCTACATGTATACATGTGTGTTCAGTGCTTGTGAAAGTCAAAAGGCACTGGAGCCCTTGGAACCAGAATTAGAGATGGCTCTGACCATGTGAGTTCCAGGAACTGAACTTGGGTTCATTGCAAAAGCAAACAAGTGCTCTTAACTGCTGAACCATCTTTCTAGCCCCTAATCTAATGCAATCTTTATGTAGTACTAGACAAGTCCATGTCTTACGATCTATATGACAGTTATATTTCTGGTATAGTAAAGAAAAAGGTCTGGAATTGAAGACAAGAGATACAAGTTTGGGTATAATCATTAATTCACTCTGTAGTGATGAATGTAAATAAGATAATCAAAGAGCCTATTACAGTAACATCATTGTTCCATGAAGTGTCGTCCTATTTATTTCTGAAAACATTCTATATACACAAACAGGGTGAGAGAAAGGCAAAGCCTACCACAACTATACAATACATTAATTTTCTAGTAAATTCAAAATAATGAATACATGAATTAGAATTCCCAACCATTCAAATACCCAACAATCCTTTATACTTTGGTTTCCACCAATAGTAAATACTTGTGGTTATAAAGGTTATGTGGTCTTAATTCCAACTATTTGACACTGTAACATAAAAACCAGAGACTATAATAAGTAAAGGAATGAACAAGATTGAAGATTATTTACAGTTAACAGGTAGCTGGCCTGCCACAGTGGTGACTTCTCCTCTGTAAAATGTCAAGGGGAACACACTACTGATTCTCTGAGAGGTTTCTTTACTCAGAACAGAGGAGTATCTGCTAGTGAAAAGTTTATCTGACCTTCTAAAAAACAGTCACTTAAGACTAGATCTGGCTGGGGGGTGGGGGGCTCGTGCACACCTTTAATCCTAGCACTCAAGAAACAAGAGGCAAGTGGATTCCAAGGACAGCCTGGTCTACAAAGTGAATTCTAGGACAGCCAGGGCTACAGAGAAACCCTGTCCTGAGAAAAAATAAAAACAAGCCAATGAACAACAACAACAAAAAAAACCCTACATCTGTGTCTTAGCCTAAGACTTGGAAATTCAACTGTGCTAGGCTCAGTATGCACAATCATGTCAACAAATTTCAAAACAGGGCCAACATTTCATGGCCAAAGAGAAGAGATGCACAGTTGTAAATCTGTAAATGCTTTCCTTTTGGTAGATCCAAAGAAGCCAAATGAGAATAAGAAAGCCGACTGGCTACAGCAAGAGAAGCTAGCTATATTCACTTTCAAGAAATAAGGTCCAATAGCTACCTCCACGGTTCAATCAGTGATGTATGAGAGAGAAAACGGGTATCTTCACTCTCTGTCTCCAAATTCTGTCAAGACACTAAAATTTTTACACTGAACATTTCCCAAAAAAGGGACCTGTCCTTCGTAATTGCCATTTCGAGGCAGAGACTCACTGTGTAGCTGAAGCTGGCCCAACTGACCTAAACTTAATGTGGCCATCTTCCTGCCTCGGCTTTCCAAACACTGGGATTTTAGACAGGAGCTACCACACCCCGCCTCTCTTCTTCTAACACATTATTAGAAGACTTTATAAAAATAAATTATGTTCCAACACTGTATCCCTGAAATCCCAATCAGAAACAAGCTAACAGACAATTTCTGTTAGGCTTCAGCCCTACTCTGATAATTTCTGGTATCTGTAAACTCTAAGGGAATAGTCTAGTGTTGCTATCAAATCCATATATGGAGGAATGAAGCTTTTTCTACCCACCTTGTTAAAAAGAAATGCTCTACCAGTGGCGCCTGTGAACCGAGTAGAGATGAGCTCTGACCGGTTAGTCAGGATTGTATCACAGTTTGCACAAGAAAACAAACGGGTACCGCCAATATGATCAAGGAAGATTCTGCCCATTTTGATAGATGAAGTTCTAAAAACCTAGAACAAAGAGATAAAGGTAAGACATACATTATTTAAAAAAATTGGTAGCAGCTATTGGGGAAGGTGTTATAGGTCATGTATAAACTGAAATCTTCTAGTACTTGCTGGGTGAACTATCTGACTCTAAATGAAGGGATTCAAAGTTCACACACTGAATAAACAAGACACCTGAAATTATTAAGAGTCATAAACATGCTTAGTCAAGACTAAGGAATTTTATCACTTCTCTTTCGGTTAGTGTAAGGAACAAAGAGAGACTGAAGTTTCATATATATGTATTATATATTTACACATATACATATTTATGTATAAATACATACCTACATGTAAAGCATTGGCATAGAGGGTGGCTGGAGAGATGCTCAGTGCTCTTAGAGCTCTTACTGCTGGTACAGAAGACCTGCGGTTGATTCCCAGCACCCATACAAAGGCTCACAACTATAAATCACTTCCAGGGGATCCAATGCCCTCCAAAGGCACAGACCTACATTCAGGCAAAACACCCATACACAGACGTGGGAAGTCAGCATGGCACCAGTGTTAAATCTATATTCTGAGCAGATGGTATATAATTGGAGGAAAGGCTCTAGTGTGAAGCACAGGTGTGGTGATCAGGTAAGAGCAGATAAATGAGCAATTTCAAAACAAGAAAGGGCTGGGAATATAGTTCATTGATGGAACACTTGCCTGGAAGTTCTGAGTTTTAGTCTATCCCAGCACCACCACAAAACAACAAAACAAAAAATAACATAAACATTCACAAACCCCACATACCAAGAGGGGACCTGAGCAGATATGGTCACTGGGTATATTGACCACTGTAGAGGTACAACAACACAAACTTCAGTAAGTCTCCGTCTAAAGTCTATGGAGCACTTATTTTAAAACTCACAATTCTAGGAGGGTTTCACTTTCCCCAAACTTCACCCAAGCAAGCTGACAGGTCAAAGGTTGCAGCTGTTACGGAATAGTAGCTGGAATGCAGTTCTACAAACTCCAAAACAAAGTTCCTCCATTACACCCTCTACCAATTTTCACAAAGGAAGGGGTCTCAGTGCAGACCTAGCTAAAGGCTAGAGCAACCAGGACAGAAAACAAGAAAATGGACTTTCCAGTTCAGGCCAAACTGGACTACAGAAAAGGACTCTGACTCAAAACATAACTAAAGTTTGGGAGAAGAGGGCTGAGGATGTAGTTCAGTGGTGGAGTGCTTACCTAGTGTAAGGTCCTAGATCCACTCCTTAGCACCTGGTGCTCTTTCACAGAACCCATGAACCAGCTCCCTCTCCATGGTCACTCATACACATGGCTGACCAACACATACATTGAATCTTACAAAAATAAAATTTGGGAGTAGGAGAGAAGAAAGAAGTCAGTGGTTAAGAGCACTTATTGCTCTCGCAGAGGGCTCTCAAGTTCAGTTCCTGGTGCCTGTAACTCCAGTTCCAGGAAATCTAATACCCTTTTATGAGCTGCAAGGGACCTGCGAACACAATATATATACACACACACAAATAAAAACATCAAGACCTTAAAAACAAATAAAAACTGGGTAGAAGGGCCTGCACTTTGTGTGTCTGGATCAGGTGATGGCCTGCACAACATATTTCCCCATAGCAGCTGAGTACTGTTAAACAGTTTATAGTTGTTCTATCCCATCCCAATTTATCTTTTCATTCTCCACTGTGGTTTACACAATTACTTTACCTGTTTTGGTACCGCTATTTCAACTTATGACTCTCAATATAAATACAGCATTCAACACACATGTGAGCAATTGACTTCTAGTGTTTATAATAATATATTGTTTAACAAAAGGATCGCAGCAAGATTGCACAGCTCAGCCATTTTAGTCATTTAGTTTCAGCTAGGGTTTCTGGAATTTGTTTTAAAGATAATTTTCTTTCTAACTTTAAATATCAGATACGATTTATTTTAACTACAGTGAAATAATCACTATTTCTAGATTGACCTTAGATGCTACTATGGAAGGTGCCTTGGTTCCAAATGAACTTTATGCCTTCTACCCTCACCATTCTATCTTTGGCTCAGTACTACAGGAATAACTGTGACCGACCATTTGGTACTGAGGGTAAATAGACTTAATAAGCCTTCTTTCCTGCTTCAAATTCATTCTATTTTTTACTTTACCCAAGTATTTTTTACCAGCTTCAATTATATGATTCATTATCAAGACTAAAAATATCTAAGAACTTTATGTTACATGATTCCTGATTGTGACTGCCATTTACAAATATACATATTTGAAACTATAAAATGTAGTTTTTCTTTGCCAAAAAAAGTTATATTGTCACCAATGTGAGGACATTTGGGGAGTAACTGGGTCATGAAGACAGACTGTCATTAGAGGAATGAGGCCCTTACAGAGGTTCCATAGAGCTGCCTTGCCCTTGCTACCATGAAGACACATTTAAAGGAGGAGAGGGGGATCAAACAACCAGGAAATTGGCCTTTACTAACACTTTTTCTTTGAACCATGATAAATAAATTCCTGTTGTTTATAAACCACCCAGACTACAGTACTTGATTATAGGACCTCAAGAAAGCCCTGAGGAGACATTAAAAGTTTAAGAGTTGTCATATTTGTCTGGACCTGGACAGTATGAACTGTGCCTTAAACCTAAGTATGTTTGTTTCAAAGGTAATTTTCTTTCTAACTTTCACATATCAGACATGATTTATTTTAACTACAATGAAATAACTAAAATCTATATCAACCTTAGAGGGTAAATAGACTTCTTTCCTGCTTCAAGTTGAGTGTAGGAGACACTGCACTTGGCACATATCATTTAACTATGGTAATTCTTAAAGTGTGTGTGTGTGTGTGTACACAGAAGTAGGGTAATATGTGTGTGTGTGTGTGTATATATATTACCCTACTTTTATAGGTGCACAAATACAGGCCACATATCCCACAAATAGCCAAGTTAAGCTCTAAACTGAATCTTATTCTAGTTCTCACTTCTCATGGCAAATAGCTGCCGGAGCTGTTTTCTCTCCCTCAGGTTGACCACAAATTCCTCTCCTCCGATATTCCCTAATTTAGTGGCAATCTCACAAATTAGTCTGCAGCCAGTCGCTTCTCCTAGGCTCTAGCACCAACCAGCTTCCTGGGATTATTTTTTACTCCTAAGCATTTCCCAGATATGCTAACTGTTTTTGGTTGATTTAGCAGAATCTCCAATCTTTTCAGCTGTCACAGTTGGCCAACATCCTTTGTCAATCACTGTGTCCCATTGCAAAAAGTTTATCATTTGATACTTTACTGTGCTGAAGTTCCATTTACAGCTGAAATTAAGGCCCAGCTCATAGTATGGCTTACGTTATACTTACAATGCTCCTTCTACTTCAACAGTTGGAGCAAAAAGCACTGCAGTATTATTTTCTAACTCACAAGTAAACAAGGCCCTTCTGGCAGTACTTTTGCATAGTCCCGAACTATACAATCCTAAAAAGGCTGAAGTATCAAACTTGGTTGTTTAGTAGTTTACCTTCTATAACCTGAAGTAGTGAGAGTCCAGGTTGAAACATAGCGAGGTTCATAGATAACTCAGGCATTTTAGTAATTACCTTCAATTTCTTCTCCCACCAAAGAGCATCCTTAGTCACCTAGAATTTCTAACTTCTACCTGCACCTCAAGACTCTAGTGAAGTAATTACATTTTAGCATTTCCACCTTTATTTTTTTTAATTATACAATTTGTAAGTTTTTTTTTTTTTAAAGGAAATTACTTTTCTTTCAGGAACCCATGACACAATATCCCTAGGAATGAATGACTTTAGAAATTGGACATGATGGTTTTGTATAAATCCCTAGTTTCTAAGTCATAAAATAATTATCTAAAAAGCCTGTTTGGCTATTTTACATATACAGGAGCAAATGAAATATATCTCATAGTTCTTTTGGTCTGACTCTGAAGATAAGAGTATTGGCTACTGTTCCAGAGGACCTGAGTTTAGTTCTCACACATAGGCTCACAAACATCTGTAACTATAGTTCCAGGGTATCTAATGCCCTCTAGTCTGGCCTCTACCTGCAGCAGACACACAACAAGTGCACAGACTACCTGTAGGCAAAACACTCACACAAATAAAACCCAAACCAACAAAACAGGGGTCAGCCAACCAAGAGCAGCAGGCCAAAAATCTAGCTTACCTGATTTAACTGCTCACACGCTAAAATAAAATTATTCATTTAAAAAGGTTAAAAAGAAAACAAATATTTTAGTGGTGATAGCTTCTTTGTAACACAGCCACACTCCTTCATTTATACTTAACTCCTTGCTAGCTACTGGCAGAGTCCAAGTGGCTCCTGTAGGAACTGGCTTGCAAAACTCAGAACAGTCACCATCTCAGTCCATAACAGGGAAGTTCATCCTGCTTACGAACACAATGAAAGAAGCCTTTCTCAGAAAAACAGAACCTTGGTTGGCAGTCAGGTGTAAAGATCAATAGGAACAGCTGACAAATTACTAGAGTCCCATTCCCACTTTCTTCATGGATTTTCTGGCTAAAATCATTGGTGCTCTGAGTTGACAAGAGTGGCTCAGGCCTGTAATCCCAGCATTCAGAAGACTGAGCAAGGAATCATGAAAAAAGTTTGGAGCCAGCCAATGTGAGTCCCAGTCACAAAACCAAAAATCCTTAGCTTTCTGTAGCCAGTTGAGTATACTGAAAAAGATCATTCAAATCAATAATATATACCTCAGCTGTTGAACCCTCTATTCACCCACAGGGACTAATACAGTGTGGCCTAGATTACTTAAAAACTCTAAAGCCAGGTGCTGTTTTTAAATTTTAGCTCTCCCTCAATATCCTTGTGAACTTTGACAAATTACCCTGTTTCCTATGTAAAATGGCAACAGCAGTATCTCTGAATGAGAATTAAATGGAAATAGTATATACAGAGAACAGTGCCCTGTACAGTGAATGCTAAATAAAGATCATAAAAGTAGACTACACATCTCATTCTATCTTTGTTCCACCACAGATGAAGCAGGGTTCAGAATGGATACAAAATAGTAGCAACTAACCAGCCTCACCTCCTGTTAATTATCCTTATGTTAAGTAATGGTATAATAGAAATTATAAACAGGGCAAAAGCTAGAAACCTAACATTTCAAATTCTTAGTGTCTATACTCTTAAGCCTTAAAATAGGTATCTGCCCTCCCTATAATTAATATTACAGTTTGGTCTCAATCCTTGAAAATGGATTTAGCCTAAGGAGGCACCATTTCCTAGCTCTAAAAATACTAGCAAGAACAATAGGCATCTATTTGCATTTACAACAGGACTTCTGGTGGAAAATACCCACTTCAGAAAGACAATTTCCTAGTTAAGGAATTGTACCTTTGGGGTATGTCCATAAACACCTATCATGATGTTCCCTCCAACACTGGACAGAGCAGAGGGGATTTTTCATTTCACCAGATGGGGGAAGACCAAGACTGTGTATATAGAGCCTGGTACACATGGTTCTAGTATGGGAAGGGTTACAAAAAGCTGCCCCTTCCAGTAGTTTGTTTTGATTCTGCTAAAATGAATTCACATGGAACCATGGCTGTATATGTTTTTCAGTCTCTTCTTTCTAGAATCAAGGAAAGAACAAAAACCATGAAAATTTTAATAGCTGGGTTAATTCTTATTATAGTAATTAATACACATTTGATGTTATTGCAATTTCATTAGTTATCTTCATAGCAATCTGTAAAAATATTCTACTTAAAAGTTACACAGGAGGGGCTGGAGAGATAGACTCAGTGGTTAAGAGCACTGTCTGCTCTTCCAAAGGACCCTGGTTCAATCCCTAGCACCCACACAGCAGCTCACAACAACCAATTCTAAGGAATCTGACATTAATACACATAAATATCACACTAATACACATAAAATTAAATTAAATTATTGTAAAAGTTACATGGGGAAACAACAGTTCAATCGATAAAATCTATTTTTCCTTCTGTGATACCAGAAATCAAACCAAGTACCTTGTATGTGCTAAGCAGACACATTATCACCATGCTACATGTCCAGGCCAATTTTCTTTACTTTTACAAAATGGTTAGCAAGAGCTAAGTTTCAATGACACAAGAAAGCCATGTTATCCTCTTACAGTACCGTATCAGTTCACTCTGTTGGGTCAAATGATGTCCTGCTTGTGGGACAGTAATTTAAGTATATGTGTCTGGTCTTCTAAGATAACACCTTATATGTTTTCTTAACTTCCATGCTGACTAGATTTCTAGAATACTGCTTAGTCATCAGTAGAAAATAAGACCAGTCACAACTCAGCAGCTAATCATGAGTCAGCAATTAATCTGAGTTGGTCATCTCCCCCAAAAATTCTTGGCAAGACAAACATGACCCCCTTTTTTTGTTGTGATACAATACCAAAAGCTTCTTGGTGATAGCTACAGTATAGTTTGTGAGATTTCCAGACTGAATTGCTAAGTAGCAAATTCAAATCTAGCTAACAGTTAAAAAATTACAAACTTGTTACTACCCAGCATTACCAAGGAAAATATTAATTTACATAACTATCGAGGTACTCTAAAACAAAGAATAGTCTAGATACAAGTATACTTAGGACTTTCTTCATGTCTCATGAATATATATTTAGCACTAACTTCACGTCCCCCACTTTTTTCAGAGACATACAAGCTTAATTTCTTTTCATAGGGCTTGGGACCTCATTTCCTCATTAAATTTAAACATTTTTATTAGACCTATTTAATTGTGTGGGGCACATGGAGGTCAGGACAGCTTTGTGGAATAAGCTCTCTTCCAACCATGTGGGCCCCTGGGTTAAAATTCAGGTTGTCAGATTTTTTATCAAGCACCTTTACCTGCAGCGCCTTCTCACTGCTCTGTTTCTACGTTTTATTGCTTCTAAATCTCTTTAGTGGACAGAAATGGCAGAGTCTAGAAAGTTTCAGTATTTCAACTAGATGTGCTTTTAGAAGAAGCCAAAAACATTTTGCCAAGCATGTTTAGAAAAGTTACTGTTAAAATCCAAATTGGTTTCACTGTGTGCCTTTCCTACAGATAAGATGGCTGGTTGCTATACATAAACTATGGGGGAAAATTTGTACTGAAGAGCAGACCAGACCAGAGTGAAGGGGAACACTAATTAGCACACCTGGAACCCCTGCACCAAGGACAATGAGGCAGGACTGCCAAGAGTTCAAGGGCAGCCTGGCCTACAGACGTGAGACTACTGAAAAACAAGTGCATTAGTTCCTTCCAAAGAGGACAAAATGTCCTGTGCTCCAGACACACACGAAGCTGTGAGCAAGTGTGTACACACAGACACAGACACACACATCCACATATGTAGGTCTGCCAAATTGCACATGCTCCACCCTCTTGCTATCTGTAAATGCTCCAGGGCTCTTTTTCCTAAGCCCTTCTGGCCAAAAGCAACCCATAGGCTTTTCATGTTCTGGGCCCAACATCAGTTCTCTTAAGAATACTTCCTACTTCCTCCTCCTGGTGTCTCACTGCCCCATCTTTGAACTTTTGTAACACTCATTTCATAACTTAGCAATATTTAGCATGTTTCTCAATTTTATTGAACTGGGAGCTTCCAGAGAGGAGAATTCGCTTTTTCTGTCCTCTCCGTCTTACATAATACACTACAAGTAAATGTGATTAATTCTTAGTGGAAGAACCCATCAAGACACTTGACATCTGGCACAAATATGCACCCTAGACACACTGAAAGATTTTGGCTTCCTGTGTAGGAATGCAGCTACAACCCTGCCTATGTGGCTATGCAGAACTGTCTGACAGGTCCCCTATTATATCTGTTACTTCGCCAGCAAATTCACTTATTTTCCAAAAGCAAGGGAAGCCCGAGGGCACTTTCAGTTTTTCCATCTGTCAAAGGACAACTGGAATAGAAATCCTCAGATTTCCAACAGGGCTCTGTAAACGGGAAAAACAAAACAAAACAAAACAAAGTTTACAAACAAATGCGCCGTACACCTTCTCTAAATGCGCCCTACTCCCTTCTCCGAAGGGAGATTAGTCGGTGTCGGGATTAAACAGACCTCTGGACTACAGCGGCTCTCCCACTCCCGCTGGCGGCACTCGGCCGTCCTACCTCCCCATCGAGCTGCGTGGAAGAAACGGGCGTGCAGGAGTCTGCCTACCTCCGCCAGCAGGAAGGAACCCCCGGGCGGGCTCACCGAGCTGCTGCGGGGTCCCCGCCAGGCCCACCGCCCGCAGCCGGCCCAGCTGATCGCGCCCGCGTGACAGCCACCAGCCAATCGCCGGGCGCGAGGCGGAGAGAGCCGCGGCGGCGGCAGTCGGGCCTTCGCGGCACAACAAACGCTGGCGGACCAGCTGGGCGCGCGCGGGCTCCGGGGCGCACGGCCCCGGCGGGCTCCCCGGCACCGTCCCCGCGCCCGGGGGTCCGAAGGGGCCGGAGGGCGGCGCGGCGGGGGGCCGGCGCCGAGGCGGGCATGGCCCACAGCC